AGAGGCTTAGTCACTGCTGGGGCAATCTTGTGCCTTGCCCAGCTATCCCTGCCTGCTCCTGGCTGTCCCATCACATGGGGCAAAACACTACCCCCTAAGGCCAGTATTCCCTCTGCTGTCCCACTGGATGGGCTGTGGTGCTCGTTCCTGCTTCACTGATGCCCATTGGGGTCCCACACAGTCCTGACCCAATGCTGCTGTGGTGTGCCAACACATGGCTGGGATGTATGTTCTGGCTTGTGGTTCCCTGTGGAAGCACACTGGGGTCTGTGGAGAGCATCCAGGTGGGATGCAGGCACAGCAGGACAGGGGAGCTGCAGATACTAGTGTGCATGAGGCTGTATCTTTGCTCCTTGGCATTCTCCATCCATTCCAGTTGAAGGGAGCAGTATGGAAACCCATGTGTTTTTCCTGTGCCACTGTGTGTGCTTTCACCACCAACAAATCCATGCTGGCTTTTCCTGCAAGGTCACTGAACAGTGTGTCGGAAGAGTGGGAGATCACTATGGGACATCACTGAGTAGTCTGGATTTTCCCTTCTTGGTGTTGCACCATTCCACACACCAGCCCCGGTGTTCCTTTACCCGCTGTTGCCGTGCCAGCGCCCTGGTGTCTGTCTCCAAAAGGAGGTTTAGGTTTCACAGGGCACACGGGGTGGGAATTCGAGCAGGCACTGCAATGAGGGCTCCTCTTGCCTTCGTTACCAGTGTTACCCGCCCCGGTGCTGCTGTGGCAGCTCCCACCTCTGCGGCTGAGTCACACCAGGCCCTGTGCACTTGCTGCTGGTGTGACGGCAGTGAGAGACCCAACCCCAGCCCAGTGCTGCTGCTGCTAATGACAGCAAGTCACAGCCCTGGAGAGGGCTCATACCGTGCATTCCTCCTGCCATGGCTTATTAGTGACTAAGAGCTGGGATGGAGCCTCCCTGCTCACCCCAGCCCTGGCATCCTTAGTTCCGCAGGTACCTGGATGGGGACATGAACCCAATCCAGCAGCCTGGCCCCAGCCTTGTTCCATATTTAATCTTTCATGTTCACCTGAGTCTCTAATTAAGCCAACTCCAATCCTTAGCTGGGAGCCTGCAGTGAACTAATGAGGTCTGGTGTTCCTGGAGCGCCGTGTGCGAGAGGCCCACACAGCAGCAGCACACCAAATCCAGCCTGCAGGCTGATGGTTTTTCCTTGTTTTCTCTTTGCTTGAGGCCTGTTGGCAGCAAAGTTCCTAAAAAAGGGGTGTGGGGAGTGCCTTTTATATTTTCCCTTTTTTATAGCAAAGTCACGACTGGTTTGAGGTACCTAATTTGGTGCTTTGATTTGGTTGCTTTCTATTGGCAGCATATGTCCAGGGTGTTCATGATGTCAGACAACATAGAAACCCCATGAGTTGCTTCCCAACCCACAGCCCAAGCATCCAGCCACTGCCTCAGCAATGGGCAGGATCAGCCTCTCTCCTGGCCCTGCCATCCCGCCTGGCTGCCTCGTTATTCCAGCATCTTGGTTACAAATAAAGCCCCATGCCAAGGCAGTGAATGGGGCTCTGATTTCCCCGGGCTGCCGCACGAGGCTGGGTGCTGGGGCGAGGTGCGGGTTGTAAATAGAGCAGCATATCCATGGCAACCCCAACTTTCCATTATTGTTAATTACTTGCACAGTGCCAGAGCTGTGCATGGCGCTTCCCAGCATGGATAAAGATAGATCCCCCCTTTTGAAAGCCTCTCCAGATGACAGCAAGGAGACAGCGAGCTCCTGGGAGGCTGGAGCTGGCTCTGGCAGCAGCAACGGAGACATTTTGTGAGGAGTCAGAGAGGAGCTGAGATTTAGAGGAGGAGGGACTGGCTCGGGGCAGCTTTTGTCCCCAGATCCCACGTTCCCTGAGCCTTGGGAAGTGGTTTGGAAGGGCTGTAGCAGTGTGCACCCGGCTGGGAAGAGAGGGATGAGAATAAAGGGCTGTCCCGTGGCTTTCCTTTCTTGGGTCTTTAATGGTGCTCGGGCAGCCTGGAGTGGAGGAAGCACCAGCAGCTTTTCTCACTGAAGGGGCAGGGATTTGTTGGTGTTGGCTTGAGCCCTTGTGCGCTGCAGGAGCCTCCTGCAGAAAGCTGGCTCTGTTTGGAAACCAGCAGCGCAGCTGAGCCCACTCGGAGCCTCAGCAGCAGTGTTTGGGTCGTTCTGCTTGTCTCTTCATTGGGTTTGATTCAGTTTTAAGTGCTTTGAAAGCCCTTGAGTGAAGAGGTTCATGTCCTGCCTCCCTCTCCTGGCTTTTCAGCTTGGGTTTGTGCAGTTCAGTGTTTGGTCACGCTCAGAGTCCTGCTGGGGTCCCTTTGGGACACAGGAACATCAGTAAGGTTTGCTGGGTGGGGATGTGGCAGGTTTGGGGATGGTTGCAGCAGGGACCAGTGTATTTAGCTCACCTACTGCTTTCTTGTACCAGTGATGGCACAGGAGACTGGGCAAGAGGAAAGGTAGTTTGGCTGTTTGGTGTTAAAAGACAACTGGGAAAAACATTCCCAAGGATTTACAGCTTACTTTGTCCCTTCCCTGGTTGTTCAGTCTGTAGAGTCTCAATTTGTACAGACCTTAATCTTCACCATGTAGTTTATTACTGCTGCTTTTCTTTGTTACTATTTTCTAGGTAATTATTTAGTGATCTATGCAGCCACTGTTGTGTATTTCTCTCCTCTCTCATGGTGTGAAGCTGATGGATATAGATACAGGCAGTTGCTTGACCTTTATAGTCTCACTCAGAGTCAAGGAACGCGGCTGTAAGGTTGTTTCAAGTCATTTTGATTTTATTACAAACCAGAACACTTCACATTCAATGGCACCTCAGGTACACAGGGCAATTACTCTTGGGGAAAGAAACCTTAAGTAGGCATCACTACAGTTGTAGCTCAGGCTTTTCCATGAGATCCCAAACTTGAGAGCAGCAACACCCCACCTGCTTTGGCTGTTAGGTTACTTATGGGATGTTACTGCAGCATTAATGGAATGGAAGCTCTCTGATAAAGACTTTACTGTCTAGTAAACCGTGCCAAGCTGCATCTGAAAAGAACAGTCTTCATCATCCAGCTGTATTTCCAAACACAAATGGCCTGTACTGAAGTCATGCAGTGATCATCTGATGTGATGGGGTGGGGAGTGCGTGTGTAGTAACTTGTAGCTCATCACTGCTTTGTTGATTAACTGGGTAATGTGGTAAGCTGAGAGTAAGGCCCCTGGAAGGGCTGCAGTGTGCTCTGGGTGGTTTGTGGTGCTCCTTGCTTACCCTCTTTAGTGAGAGAAGGCCTGAGCCCTGAGCATCTTCATACTTAGGTTCTGGAAGGCTGCTCTGGTTGTAACATCCAGCTTTTCCAGCAAGCAGGAGCAACAAAGACTTAAACCAAGGGATTCGATAGAACTTGACAATTGCGAATCAGGGAGCGAGCAGATGAAGCTTATTGGTTTGTACAGCGCTCTCCTGCTGTGCTCTGTGCTAATATCACATAAAAGCAACAACTGTTGAGGAGCTGCCCCGCAATGTCCTTTCCCATCCTTTGTCACAATTAAGTTAAAAAGACTGGACCACTCCAGGCTCTACTTTTACACCCTCAGGCAAGTGTTACCTCCTTTGAAAGCTGCTACTGCTTTAGGAGGGAGGACAAGAAGGGAGGGGATGGCATCTCTGTACCCCTGTACTCACACAAAGTCAAAGTGTGACTCATTATGTGCTGCTCTTCTGTCCTCATTCTGGGTCACTGCCAGCATTAAAAGTACTGTGCTTCTCTTTTTAGTTACAAGAGGTGTTAGAAACGAATGCCCATTCACATTCAGGATCAGCTCATATGGCATATGATTCTTCCCAGCCCTATGTGGCAGCGGAATTCTGACAACAGCAGTGTTAAACAGCAGAGTCAAAAGGAAACCAGACAAAGAGAGATCAGTTTTCATACAGTTTAACACAGCTCCCTTCTTGTTTTTACCAAAAGAAAGAGCCCCAAAAGATTTTAAACAAAGGGAAATGTCCTTCATTCAACACTGTTAAAACCTTTCAGCGCTGTCAAAGTGACTTCAGAGCTGCTCCACGTCTGTCTGCTCCAGCCCAAGCGCCCATGTCTGTCCTCAGGCTTTGGTGATGTACCCTTCCCTGATCAGGAAGTCATAGATTTTCCTGGTCTTGTTCACATCGATCTTGATGAGCGCTCTGGCCTGCGCCAGTCTCAGGCCTCCTTGTTTGTTACACTCGTTCACTAAAGCAGCTTTGTATTCTAAATAGGCTCCAGGGACCAACCTCACCATCTGACAGAGCTGGAAGACAAAAGGTGGAGTTAATAAACACAAACCCTGGTCGAACTCCTTCGCTCTGTGATCCCTGTTGGAGGAGTAACACTGGGAATACTCTTCTGAAAGTGTGTTTTTGCAGGGACACACACACGGTAATGGCATTGCATTGCGAGCTGTTTCCAGCCACAGGTAGGGAGGGGAGGAGCTTGCTGGCTGCTGCATTCAAAAACATTCCTGACTAAAGAAGAAACTAGGAGGATGAAAGCGAGCTCCCAGCTCGCAGGAGCGGAACTATGAGTGTGTCCTGTGTGGGTGGTGTTCTTTGCAAACCAAGGGAAGCACACATGCCAAAGAGACTTGCAACCAGCAATTCGGCATGCTGGAGCAGAGCCAGGGAGGGCATCTGGCTATTAATCCCCTGCAGCCTAAGTCTTTAATACCCTTCTACAAAAGCAGCGATACACACAGCCCCCTCTGGAAGGCTGGGATGGAAACTGTGCAGGGAGGGCATGACGTGGTTGCAAGTCTGGTAAAAGGAATTGCTTTCAAAAGCCTGCTGTTGGGCTGCAGTGTTCCCATTTAGCTCCCAAATACCAGCTGCCTTCTAGCTGGTGAGCTGTATTACTCCCGATGGAAATAGTGGCTGTCTCCTCCTTTTAATACGGAAATGCTTAATGATTGTTCCTCATTGATAGGAAACTGCAGAATTCAGAGGAACTCAGACCTTCTGTCTCAGCTCACAAGGAAATCAGATTCCCTTTATAATGTCCTAGTCACAATTATTTATATGCTGAATGGAGCCAGAAGTGCCATGTTCCATGGTGAATCTGTGATCTGATTTTCAATGCTGCCATCTCCAGTGAAGGGGAAACAGCTTCCACACAGAGGGGAGAAATCTGAAATTCATCTGTGTTTCACATACACTGAAATCTGCTGTGGTTAAGGACAGGTTATGGATTCTATTGAAGAAAAAATCATCTTTTATTTCAATAGTTTTCTGGTGTTGCCTTTCACTGAATTAAAGAACAGTTCTATAGGTGACTGTGGCGAGGGTATGGGACTGCAAACTGTAACAGCAGGCTGAGCTTAAAGAAAACCAGATTCTATTCTTTGCCACGTGTGCATACAAAAACCTTGGTATGTGCCTTTAAACCAGAAATAGGGTGGTGTTCTTTCCATAGTTTTCCCCTGTTATGCCTGCATGGTTCGCATGAGTGTTGCTGGGAAAAAGCTACCATAACTGGTTGGGGTTTGGCTGGCGGATACCTTTAACATAGAAAGAGCTCTGCTGTAGGTTCAGTGGTGTGTCCAGTGAAGCCCTTGAATCCTCTGCCCATTTTAGCGACAATGTTCATTAAGTAAAAATAACCTTTCTGCTGAGCCCAGTCTCACAACAGAGGGAGAGAGGAGATCCCACTGTTGATGTTGTAATAGCACCTCGGTGCTCTCTGCCTTTCTTTGCTAAACAAGCTGATTTGCTGCAGTAGCTGAAATTAAGAAGCCCACTGGAAAACCTGAGTGAAGCATAGTCAGGGCATGTAAGCGGGGTTATATTCAGAGCACAGGGGACAGCTGGTGTGAGCACCCCTGCACTGTGAAGGTGCTGTTTCGGATAGGTGTATCTTTCCAGCCCTTTCCTCACCTCCTTCTCCTTCTCGTTCAGTTTCTCTGTCCCTGGGAGACCCGTGAGGTTCAGCGGTGGAGCGCTCCGTCTGCCTGCGGAGGCAACGTGGAAACCAGTGAGTAACTCTGAGCAGTCTGGTGGTGACTGTTTCTTACCTGTGTTAGCACAGAGGCAATTCAATCCGGGATGTTAACCCAGTGCTATCCAAGTGTATATAGCAGGGTTATTCAGGGCTTAATGAAAACTGCACAGATTTGATAAAAGGCAGGAGTTTGGAAGTGACAAAGTGCTGTGAACACATGAGACTCTCACACTGTTGACTCTGCCTCACTGGCTTTTAGGAGGAACTGAAAGACAAATTAGCACCAGCCCTCCTTAAGCTGGGCTGAACCTCCTGACTAAAGCACTCCTCCAGCCAAGCCAGGGAGGTGGGTGCTGCATGGAGGGTGTGCACAGGGTGCAGGGCTGACTCCCGCAGGTGTGAAAGGGTGTGCTCTGCAAGGGTGCTGGCATTACGTATGGCTGGGATTAGCAGCCAGTTTCTCTGGCATTTGACAACTCCATGAGGCAGTGTTCTTTAGATGCCTCCAAGGATGATGCAGATGTTGCAAAGCCAGTGCGGTTTGTGGATTTCTTTTTCTCTGTTATGGTACAAAACAGTACTGATAGTTCTCTCTTTCACTGTTGGTCATAAACTTTGCTTTCCGATAGCTGCCTGCTTGTAGGTTGGTTGGTTTGTGTTGCTAATAGTATTTCCCAGTGCTGCTCCCTCTTTCTATAGCCAAGAACCAGCACGCTATGATGAGCCATGCCAGAATCTGATTTCTACTCTCTTATAAACCTAGGAAACGCACACAAACTACGTTAAAGAAAATATATTATGGCTGTAAAGTCAGGATCTCTCTAGAAGTATGGTTAAACAACATTAATGTGCTCTCTTGTATATTCAGTATGATGCAGCCTTTAATTACAGGGACACGTGGCAGTTTTCCTGCAGTAGCCTTGCCTTATTCACTATGCAGGATGTTTGCTCAATTAGCAACTATATGGTGTTTTGTTTGGGTTTTGTTCAGCATGTGATGCTGGCTGTAAACACTGCCTGCTATCTGAGCTCCACAGGCACAACAACCCATGTTCTCTTGGGCTTTTCACCTTCATGGGCCACTGCATTCTTGACAAGAAGGGAATTTCATTCTTCACACCAGCCCTTTGGCCGGGGGATGCTGTCCCTGTTTTATGGGCTTTGCATGCCCTGAAATACACAATGCTGTTTTCTCTCCAAAGAACCAGATCTTTGCAATCAGCAACTGTGTTTAAAACACAGTGCAAACTGCAGTGACTAATTGCTTGGTATTCTGACCCAAATTTCCAAGGCTTCTGGCAGGAATGGGGAAAAACATATAGACTCAGTGTCCCCCTCTGAGTTTACTAGCATCCACATAAAAACCAGTTGTAGAGACAGAGCCAGAAGCCAGTTTTCCCTGGCAGCATTTAACCTTATAGTAAAACTTTATTCTAGTCTTATTCATTGCATGCTACCCTGTGACCTCAACAAACAGGATGGAGTTTTGTAGAAGTCTTGTTCATAAGGGCTTTGAGCCCTGAATCTGTCCTTTCTGGGCATTGAAAGAAGTAGGGATTCTCTTGATGGAAAAAAAACCCCGTAATTTGTGATTATAAAGAATATAAAAGCATATTCATGGAAAAGGAAAACTGAGGTTGCACAGGGAGCCTGTACCATCTTGTTCTGTCACTCCCACATCTGCCTTCTGTCAGGCACCTATTGCTCTGGTATGTGCTACACAGCTCCATTAAAAGCCTGGATTACCTTTATCTTCTAAAGACAAAACTTTGTTCCCACGTGCAGATTCTTTCCTGCCCTGTTAACGTAGCTCTAGGATGGGTTTTCCACCTGCAGCCAGAAAGATCTAGAAGCTCAGCAAAAAATCATCATCATTAAGCAGTTACCTGAATTTGAAGGAACTGGGACCGTGGGAGTCAGGCCAGAATCACTGAAAAGAAAGGAAATATTTAATTGCCTTTATGTTTTTCTTCTTTAAGAATAACTGCATGTATTGGCTATTCCCCCCTCCAACTTCTAATAATGATACAATTCACTGCGCATAACCCAGGCCCTGATCTGAAGTCAAAAGGATTCCTACAATACTCAGCACCCCCCAGAAGGAGAGGATGACAAAAAGTCAGTGAGTGGGGAAATGACAAGCCATCTTCTCAGAGCATGTGCATTCAGGATGTACTTCCTTTGCCATGCAGCTTACTCCTTAAATCAAAGTGCTCGTGCAGGGTGACTACACGTTAATAATGCTGCTACATCTAAAATCATCTGAACCATCAAGTGTCATCTCTGCACTCATTACTATCCATAAAGCCCTCACTTCCCTCTATGACTTTATTAACAGCAGTTCAGGTCCTGAAACACAGAATACAGAAAACAGAGACTCTTGAGCCTTTACCAGTCACCTCCCTGTCCTCACTTCAACAAGCACTCTTGCTGTTGCCCACAGTTTCTTGCCCTGCTGAATTAATTGGAACTGGAATACATTGGGAATGAATCTGTTGTTATCACACGGAGCAATGTGTTGTCTGCACCTGACTGGAGCAGAGGGGTGTAAATGCACAGCCTTACTGTAACCATACATATCAGCTTGGCGACTGAGCCACTGCTGGCAGGCACTGCTGTCCTGGATGTACTGCAGGACCTCAGAGAGCATCGTGCGCTTCAGGCGCTCCTCATCTCTTGTCTTCTTCAGGTGGTCGTACGTCCTGGCACCTATGGCAAACAGAAACCATGTCTCACAGCTGCCTTGGTCAAGATTTGCAGGCTGTTGTTGTGCTACAGTAGGAATTAAGTGAGAAATTGTTCTCTAGGCCTGGACCAGACTCTGCTATTCTCCCTCATGACAACTACTTGGCATTAGAAGGTATCAGATTCCACCCTGCACCCATCCCCCTGTTAATTTCAGGCCAAAAACCGAACAAAAAAGCTTCCATGATCCAATGCCAGGATAAAACGGGCTGTTTCGTTTATGTAGAGGTCTTAGGCCTCTCTCCAGACATCACGCTTGTTGACAGGCAATGAAAGTGGCCAGAGATAAAGCACTGGGGAGCACTGTGCCATGACAATATATATATATGTATCCTTTCTGACTCTTTGCAAAGTGAGACAGCACATTCTCCAAGCCGATGGCTCAGACTAGCTTTAAGAAAGCACAGCTGGACTGAAGCAGTGTTGCTAGAGCCCTGTCCAGTTAAAGAGGCAGGCATTTCACAAAGAAGTCCCTTTATTCAGCACATCCTAAATGTTGTAAAACCGTCCTTCCACACCTTGATGAATGGGAATGTGCTGAATAATGCATCAGGTACTTACTGCAGAAGTTGGTGATTCCTGCTGCTCTGTATTCCTGCAGTCGCTTTATTTCCCTTCGCAGCTCAAATTCCACTGGTTTGCCCCAAGAGCGAGCAGAAGGGAAAGCCAAAAGAAAAATGTGGGTCAGTGGGAGTGGCAGTGAGTTGTGGTGCACCAGGAGCGTTGCTGTTTCTTCTCTGTCTGCACAGGTCAGCTATGCAGTGCACAGAACCACAGCCCGGCTTAACCTTCCCCTAAAAGTCTGTATCAGATCTTATATTCACTGTGTTCAACACTCCTTGATCACAGATTTAACTTGTTTCTAGCATTTGTGTGCTTAGACAAGTTAAGTTTGTGTCATGCTTTGACAGTTCCTTTGCCACACCCTGGACAAGGCAGGTAACAATAACATAGGTTTTCTGGAAGGCAATTCAATAGGTCTGAAAAACTCCTCCATCCAGGCTCCTTATAACATCTAATATGGGCTTTGAATTATGATTTTCATAACAGGACCTTCCAATTTTTTAACTTGCAGACAACTCTTTTCCTGCAGTGAGTAAGATGAAATACCCATGTTCTTTTGCTCAGAGGTATTTACTACCTCTAGCTTTTATCAGCTGGCTTCCAGGCATTGCTCAGTTTTACAGTGAGCAAGTTTGCTTCTCTCCAGTTTGGCTATTCATACTACTCAGGAGAGCTGGATAATGCCTGTACTTGACTCTCAGGTTAACTTGAGGACTTTGCTGTCACTACAGTAACAAAACTAGGTTCCAGGGCTTGCACTCACATGTGGGACTCCTGATTCTGCAGGATCATGCTTTTGGTATTTCACTTAGGGTGTCCTGAAAATGCAGTCACAACTGTTTAAATGCTTTGTGCCTCCTAATGAGCAACAATTTTCCCAGTTTAAGTCACAGAATTAAGCAGGATATAATGACTCCTACTGGAATGTGGCTAAATGCATGCTATGATTATGCATAAAGACTTGAGATGATTCAGTGATGGAACAATGCCTCTCCCTTTAAGGTAAGGGACATAATGACCACAGTACTATATAATTATGTAGATATGTAAGAGCTTAACATGGATCTTTCAAAGAATTCACCATTTGCTGCCAGCTCCCAATCTCTCAATACAGACAGACATACACTTTAGGGATTTTGTTCTTCCAGTGGTACAGAGTCCCAGAAAACGAACAGTGCTCTTTTGATAAGAAAATATTACTTCTAATGCCTGACCAGAATGTTCAGTCAACTGAGAAATCAAACAAGGAACTAGAGTTTAGTGGAAAAAAAACCCACTTGCTGCTCATTTAATGTATGAAACCACAAATGTATTTGTTTTTCTGAGGTAGGTAGATGGGGAGGAGGAGAAAAACAACCTCCTGCCCTCCAGGAGTGGTATATATTTAGGAAGGACTGCAGATGATGCAACCCTTCATTATGCTGATGGAAGAAGATACATGCTAAAATCCTCCAGATACTTACATGCATGGCTTTCAATGAACTTATCATGCTCCACTGGGCCGAGAATCCGGGCAAATCGTCGCATTGTTTCATAGAGGTCTTGAACTTCCTTTGGATATCGCCTTTCCAGAACTAGGGAAGGGAAAAGAGTGACACTCCTTATCTCTCCTGCTGTGAGAATAACTGCAGTAGAACCTGAAGTGAGTACCAGCCCCTGTGATCTGCCCAAAGGTCCAGATTTGGTACACTTCCTAGATCCAGATTTGGTACGCTTCCTAGATC